CTTCTCTAAACAATTTCTATTCTTTCCCCGAAATTCCTATTTCTATTATAACTGTCTACCTTTTCTCCCAATCTCTTTCCTTGATCTTCTCTTACCTTCCAGGTTGACCTGTCTCCTACATGATCTCTCAAAAATATCTCAACTTGTCTATCTCACTTTACAAAGTAAAACTGCAAAACATAGAACCTCACCAAATTAAAAGTCCCAGTTTTGTCCATCTGTTTGTCTGTTTTGCTTCTGCATGCCCTATGGTGGCTTCAGTTTTCCTTACTCCATATTTATTGATTCTACTGTGAGGTAACATTATAGCTTTCTATGGTTTTAAGATTCTGAGATATCTTCTGGGATATGTTTTCTGAGAGCTTATTTGCCAGTAGTCAGGGACCATTTTCTCTATGACTTGTTTGGACATTTTCAGTTACCTGATTCATCTAAGGGGCTATGAAAGCATTAGAAATGTGGCAATGAAACAACTTGGATATAACATATTATACTTGTAAATCTCCAGACTCACAGGGAAAATTATTTTGTTAAGTTCTTTCAGGTATCTTATGAAATTATGCAAGTTTATCCTAATTTGACATATTTTTCCTAATAAATGAGATTACAGATATACCATAATGAAACACTCAGAGTAGAATTTAGTTCACAGGCACAGTGATTAGCACCCCTCTGGAAAAACTATCTTAAGGTAGTGAGAACAGCAAATTACACAAATATATGTAGCTATAGCTGTGGAGAGACTTGGTACCCTTCTTCAGGCAAATAAATAACTCATTCAGATAGAAGGGAGCCCTGGTGGCACAGTGGTTAAGAGCTCAGCTGCTAATCAAAAGGTCGGCAGTTGGAGTCCACCAGCTGCTCCTTGGAAACCCTATGGGGCAGTTGTACTCTGTCCTGTAGGGTCCCTATGAGTTGGAATCGACTCCATGTCAACAGGTTTGGGTTGGTAGGTCAAACAGAAGACCAATTTTTTTGTGTGTGTATGGTTTAAAATTCACTAAGCATTTAAAAAATGTGTATAACTTTGACAAAATCTGTGGATGTTGGTACATGAGTATACTATTTTCCAGGGTCACATAGGGTAAAAGACTGACACGAATTAAAAACAAGAAAATGTTTTGATTGTAAATAGTATGTAATTTATATATTATGCATAGATATATATTCAAATGTGTATACACCAATATATTATTGCTAGTTGGATCTGGAAAATGGATATACTTATTTAATAACATATTGATAAATAGTCTTACAATAAAACTTAACACTCTGAAGGACATAAAGACTACACCTCAGAGCATTGTAGGATAAATGAACTGAAATAATTTATTAAAGTCAGAAGGTAGTAATAAGATAATGATAATATTTTTGCACTGAATGTTCATTTTCTATTAGCAAATTTGATATAAATTGGGCTAGGTAATACAAATTACCATATTAGTTTCACTTGCATACATTTCCATATATATAAATAAAAATATTAATTTGGATGTTATATTTAACTATTTGAAGATATGTATATATGTACATATATGTCTGTGTGTGTGTATATATATGTGTGTGTGTGTGTGTGTGTGTGTGTGTGTGTATGTTTGGAGCCCTGGTGGCTCAATGGTTAAGAGCTACAGCTGCTAACCACAACATAGATTGCTGGGCCACATCTCAGAGTTTCTGATTTAGTAGATCTGGGGTGGGCCAGACAGTGGTTAAGAGCTCGGCTGCTAACAAAAAGGTCGGCAGTTGGAATCCATCAGCCACTCCTTGGAAACCCTATGGGGCAGTTCTACTTTGTTCTATACACACAAACATACACACACACACACACACACATATATATATAGGAGAAAGATGTGGCAGTCTGCTCCTGTAAAGATTACAGCCTTGGAAACTCAATGGGGCAGTTCTACTCAGTCCTATAGAGTCGCTATGAGTCAGAATCGACTTGATGGCAGTAGGTTTGGTTTGGTTTTTTATATATATATATATATATATATACACACATGTATGTGTGTGTATATATATGTATACACATATTTGAATGTATACATATATATATAATTTACTTTTGTTTCAGGTAGAATAGTCATATGCCAATGTAATTTATGGAGTGTCCTTTCAAAGGACAGATTGGCCAATGATATCACAATATGTAACATTTTATTTTACATAAATTAGTTTTATGTCTAACCACTTTTAATTTGTATAAATGTTTTGATAGTTGTTTTGAAATAAAAATATGTATTGAATTATTTTAATTGAAATATTCTTATTTCTGGAATTAATTTATTTGGAAATGTTTATTCAAAAAAAATACAAACCTTTTGCCATCGAGTCCAACTCACAGCGAGTCTACAGGACAGAGCAGAACGGCTCCATAAAGTTTCCAAGGCTATAATCTTTATGGAAGCAGACTGCTGCATCTTTCTCCCATGGAGCAGCTGGTGGGTTTGAACCTCCAACTTTTGGTTAGCAGCCAAGTGCTTAACCACTGTGCCACCAGGGATCCTTGGAGATGTTTGTAGTATATAGAAAATATTCATAGTAAATTTTATTATTATTATTGTTGGTTCTTGTGATACAGTATGAACATCTAAGGTACATCTTGAACAGTGAATCTGTAAAATTAAAATACAGCCAGCAGTGTAGCAGTAGTGGATTGAACCCATATTAAATGCACATTTGAGAAAAAGGCATAAATTATTTAACCCATGTCAATTTCTGAAGGTTTAACTCAACAATAATAATATTATTATTACTAATAACAATGATGGGTGTCCCTGGGTGGTGCAAATGGTTAAATGCTCAACTAGTAGATGAAACGTTGGTTGTTCGAACCCACCCAGAGACACCTCAAATGACAGGCCTAGGGATCTGCTTCTGAAAGGTCACAGCTTTGAAAACCTTATGGAGCAGTTCTACTCTGCACACATGGGGTTGCCATGAGTCGGAATCTACTCCATGGCAACTAACTACAACAACAATAATAATGATACATTGAGTAGTTACTATTTCTAGTGATTACTATGCTAAGGCCTTTATATTCATTATCTTATTTAATCTTCATAATGTTTGCTTAAGGTATTATCATTACCCCTTTTGTATATATGAGGAGGTTGAGACCAAGGCAGATTAAGTGATTTACCCAAGATAATTTAGCAAATAAGGGACTGAGGAACAATTAGACTTACGGAAATACCCAGGAATTGATAAGCAATTAATACATCTGTCTCTGAAGGACAAGTCATGTGATTATGTTACTGTTCTTGGAATGAATTTTAAGAGTATTTAGAATACATTGGAAGGACTAATGAAAAGCATTTGGAAGGAGCTGGATTTGTGATTTGATGGATTCTGTCTGGACATGTACTAGTAGTTACTAGCATATGCTTAGACAAAATCATGAAGATTACATAGTCTTAGATACAAGTAAATAAGCTTTTAAAAATTGTTTATTTTTGCAGTTTCCTTTTTAATGTGCTTCTTGAATTATCACTTTCATATTTTTAAAAAAATTATTTTCAAGCAAGGTCCAGTTTATTGTAAAATTTACTATGATGTTATATAGCTTTAAATATATGAGTTAATTATATATGACATACTATTGTTCGTTAAAGTTAGTAAAAAAAAATGAAAATTTATAAAAAAGTGAGGAAAGAACTAGAAAGTAAACATACATAAGAACTGATAAAATTGGAGTCAGAGGGGAAATTGATCAGTATGATTTCAGGGCCTTAGAAAACTTCTTTTCTTACGTTTGGTGAAAACTATTTGTGAAAGAAAAAAGATCATTTAGCATAGCCCCATCCACTTAATATCCTTGAAAAATACAGGGCCACTTTATAATTAACTTTCATAAACAGGTCCTCTGTTCTTTGAGTTGTAAATATGAAAATAGGAAGAAAATTGTTTTAGGATAGCCAACTGATTGAAGGCAGGTAGGTATGGTTAGGATGAACAAGGTACCATTCTGAGATGGAAACCATGCAGGTGAAGGTAGCTGGCTAGTGATAGAAGAAATACAAGATGAAGAGCTATGATGAGACTTAACAGATTTGAGTCTACGAGTGAGTACAGAGTTAAAAACTGGGGAAGGGAAAATATATTCAATTGAAGCTGAAGTAAGTTTATTGTGCAGATGAAATTTAACTAATAGGACCTGTTGCAAGATAAATAGATTTTGTCATTTTTGTAAAATGACTAAAGTTTTCAATTTTATTTATTAATATTTTCTAGGAGAAGTTGATCAATGAATGGTTACCACTTTACTAGTCAGCTTCAGGCATCAGACATTCACAGCCACTTTGTGTATGATCCATTATGACAACAGGAATATATTTTAAATATCTTCAAAGATGATCCACAGAATCACAAGATACATTAATTAGGACTCTAAACTCTAGTCATTGTAACTAGACTTAATTATTGTGAAACAGCAAAAAATAACCAAAAACATATCCACACTTCAGCAGAATATGCTTAAGTATAAGCAGGGGTAAGTTTATTCGTGTATGTTATTTAGAAGGAATATTCTACCGTATGTATGTAGCCAATGAGAGAAATATAAATATCATTTCCTGTTGTGGCTGCTGCTACAAAAAGGGTCTCTGATACCCAATGTAAACATTTAGTAGGCAAGGCTCTGGACTGTGGAAGACCAATAAAATTAATTCTTCTTCCGTCTAACCTAGAATCATGTTTGTTGTTGATTCTGTTGTATCTGCCTTGTAGATTATAACTTCCCTCTTCCTTCCTGTTACTTACGTAGTTTATAAAGCCACCTTTATAACTTCCACTGAACTAGGATATAGGTTCTTTCTGGTCTAGATTTTTCTGTTGGAAACACTGCATAGACACTGTTTAAGAATTCTGAACACAGGTTCCGTGGGGCTCAACCTATCAGAGAATACCTTGAGGGTTCTGCTTTATGATGCTTAGAGGTGAAGAGTGATCAGTTGCCTCTCAAAAAGTCTCTGATCAGCTGCTCTTGAGCAATCAAGATGCCTCTGTCTCCTCTTCCAGCAGCCCTCCTGTCTCATATGATAAGTATTAGCGATGTGCCTCCTCCTCCACTTCACAATATACCAAGTGAGTGGGGAATACCTTGAGGGTCTCATTCATCTGATAGTTTTCAGTGGTACTTACCACAGATATAAAAAATGGGATATTTTAGGGTTGGAAGGGATATTGGGACTCTTATTAACAACATAGGAATGGAAAGAACATTGATATATAAATCCTGCTATTTCTATTAGAAGCCATTTCAATTCTCTAGATCTCTTTTTTCTTTGTAAAATGAGGATGTTTATCAACCATTTGAGCCTTAACTGTATTGAAATACTTTTAAAGAAGGAAAAAAAAAAAAGAAGGCTCAGAGAGGTCATCTGGCTCACTAGGGTTCAGGCCTTTTGTTGCTGCAGGTCTCCTAGTCCCTACCCAGAACTGGTCTTAATACCCTTCACGGTCTATTTCATACTTAATTTTCACTGGGAAAGTTCACATTTCAAATTATAAGAAAAAAAAGATAATTCCCATTGTTCTAACTCTGAAATTTATTCACATTTAATTTTTTCTGGTTCTTTGACTTATCATAAAATTATAACTACAGAGTTAAATTTGTGAAGTTTATGAAATTTACAGTATTCTCATATTTTATGTATAGTCAGTCTGAACCCAGAACAATTTTGCAAGGTTGTAAACACTTCTCGTTATAGTCATCAAAGTCATAGATTATTTGAACACCAATATGCTGATTAGTAATGTTTAATAGTCCCAGTGATAGTTGAGATTTAAAAAAAAAAAACCTTTTAGGTAACAAAGGTAATACTCTTGACCTTTTTCAACTTCAATAAAACATTTACTCTATTAATATTCATTGGATAGATTTATAGTACTGATTTGAAGAATCTAATCACTCCATCTTTTTATTCTCCTGTGAGAGTTAACTCTTCCAAACACACACACACATATATACGTATATGTGTATATATATATATATATATATATATATACACATATACATACATTCCCACATATATATTTAATCAATGCTCAAAATTTCCAGGGGAAAAATGCCATGGGCACTTAGATTGCCTTTAAAGGAGTGTCCTTACGTCTTGAACAGTATTGGACAAAATCCTTTTTTTAAACCAAATTAATTACTACATATACTACTTATATATGTTTTTATATATTGTGAAAAAAATTATATTGTATATAATAAAAGTTTTGTATTTCTATGCAGATGGAAGTATTAAATGTAACTTTTACCAAAAACCACAGCTTCTACTATTCAGGTATTATTTGTGCAAAAGAAAAAAAAAAGTCACCATAGGATTTTTTTTTTTTTTTTTAGCAGCCTGAGAAGCTCAAAAGCTGGGAGTTAAAAGATCAAATTAATTTAGAATCAATGGAATGAGATATGTGCTACCCTCTGTAGTGTCTCCCAAGGACACTTAACTTCTGTGAAGTGATTAAAAGATGAAAAATCAGCAGCAATTTAGATCTCAGAACTGAATAGAGCATCATGGAAGCAGTGGAGCTCCCGATGTTCTCTTCAGAGCTTCCTACTTGATGTTCTGTGTGACTTCTCTTTGGAGACGTGTCCTGCTTGCTTAATAACTGTCTTTGTGCTAACTCCAGCAAGTTAAAAATTTCCTTTTCCTGGCAGTTTGTGAGCTTCACAAAAACTGGGATAGAGAACTACCAAACCCTGATTTCCAGTGAAACAACAATCCCATGAAAGTTTATATGAAGGATGCTTTCAATCTATAACATGACTGTTATGGATTGAATTGTGTCCCCCAAATATATGTGTTGTAAATCCTAACCTCTATGCCTGTGGTTATAATTCCACTTGGCAATGGGTTGTCTTTATTATGTTAATGAGACAGGATTACTGCAGAGTGTGTCTTAAGTCAACCTCTTTTGAGATATAAAAGAGATTAAACAAGCAAGCGGAAGAAGGGGACATGTGGGAAGAGAGATGCCACATGAAGATCACCCAGGAGCAGAAGATCAAGGAGACAAGGACATTTCTCCAGAGCCTACAGAGGGAGAACGTCTTCCTCTAGAGCTGACACCCTGACTTCAGACTTCTAGCCTTCTAAACTGTGAGGAAATAAATTTCTGTTTGTTAAAGCCATCCACTTGTGCTACTTCTCTTATAGCAGCACTAGATAACTAAGATAGAATTTGGTACTGAAGAGTGGGGTGCTACTCTAAAGATACCTAAAAACATGTGGAAATCGTTTTACATTTGGCTAATGGTTGGAGACTGGAAGTGTTTTAAGGTGCCTAATAGTAAAAGCCTAGATTGCTTGAAGAGACTGTTGGTGGAATTATGGACATCTAAGGCAATTCTGGAACCTTGGTGGCACAGTGGTTAAGAGCTCTGCTGCTAACCTAAAGGTCAGCAGTTCAAATCCACCAACTGCTCCTTGGAAACCCTATGGGGCAGTTCTTCTCTGTCCTATAAGGTTGCTATGAGTTGGAATCAACCAGATGGCAACGGGTTTCAAGGCAATTCTGGGAGCCCTGGTGGCATAGTGGTTAACTGTTCAGCTGCTAACCAAAAGGTCAGCAGTTTGAATCCACCAGTTGCTCCTTGGAAACCCTATGGGTTAGTTCTACTCTGTCCTGTAGGGGCCACTATGAGTCAGAACTGGCTCCATGGAAAATGGGTTTTTGATGGGTTTTGGAAGGCAATTCTGGTGAGGGATCAGAAGGAAATGAGGACAGCTACAGAGAAAGTTTCTTAGAGAATACATATGGCACCAGCAACAGAATGCTGCTAGAAATGTGTATGTTAAATGTGCTTCTGATGAGGCTTTAAAAGAAAATGAACTTGTGATTGGACAGTGGAGGAAGGGTGATGCTTTTTATGCAGTGGCAAAGAACTTGTTTGAATTATATTCAAATGTTTGGTGGAATGCAGAACTTGTAAGTGATAAACTTGAATATTTGAATATTGAGATTTCTAAGCAAGATCTTAAAAGGGCTGTGTGGTTTCTCCTTGCTGCTTATAGTAAAATGCAGGAGGAAAGAGATGGACTTAAAAATGAACTGTGTAAAATGAAAACAGAACTTAAAGATTTGGAAAATTCTGTTGTACAAACTAAGGACATGGCTACACAGTCTTTTTTAAAGAGATTAAGTCTGTAACTGATGAATCTAACCAACTACCACAGCAGAAAACTCATCAGTGTAGACTGAAGGAGACAGAGAAAGAACAAAAGGAATGAACACTGCCTGCTCTTGGAATTCTACAGGCAGGAAACAGGCCAAAGGAGCTACATCTGTCGTCCTCCATGAAAAGAAAAGGACCATCCCTGGAGCAGCTCGGAGATCAGCAGAACTGCTGGAAGGAGCACCGGAAGCAGGGCCTTCTTGGTTTCAAAGGATCAAGCCACAGTCTCCTGAATCTCAAAGGGTGGGGCCATGGTCTCCTAGGTTTCAAAGAGTCAAATCTTTACCAACTCAGTTCTGGAGTGTGGGGCTGCCGTTAAGCTGTGTGGGCAATGGGGCTGTCATCCAAAACTGAGGGGGCAGGGCTGCCATGCCCAAGGAGCAAAAGAATGGGGCCTGCTGGGACTGAGGGAGTGGTGTCATCACTCAGATGGACTAGGAGAATGGGGTTGCCCAAAGTCAGGGGACCGGAGTTGCCATTCCATTGGGCCTGGAAGGTGGAGCTGAAGCCCAAAGCTGAGGCGCCTCCACACGGAATCCAGAGGGTGTGGCTAACATGCAGAGTCTACCTTGTAGGGCCATTGCCCAGATGGTCTTAGAATAGAAAGGATTATTTTCACGCCTTGAGACCTAATGTAATTTGTTCTGCTGGGTTTTGGACTTCCTTAGTGCCTGTTATTCCTTCTTTCCCTCCAATTTCTACCGTTTGTAATGGAAATGTCTACCTTGTACCTGTTCCACTGTTGTACTTAGGAAACAGATGGCTTGTTTAGATTTCACAGGTTCACAAATGAAGAGGAATTTTCCCCCAAGATGGAATATGCCTGAAGTCTCACCTATATTTGATTTAGATGATTCAGAAATAAGATTTTGGACTTGGAGTGGATTTCAGACATTTGAGATGATGTGATCAGGTTTTGCATTTGTCAAGGACATGAATTTTTGGGGACAAAGAGGTAGAATGTTATGGATTGAATTGCTTCCCCCAAAAGTATGTATTGTAACTCCTAACTTTTATACCTGTGGTTATAATCCTATTTGGAAATGGATTATCTTTGCTATGTTAATGGACAGGATTAGTGTAGGATGTGTTGTAAATCAACCTCTTTTGAGATGTGAATGAGATTAAACAAGCAAGTAAAAGAAGGGGAAATGGGGGTAGAGAGATGCCAAACCACATGAAGATCACCCAGGAGCAGAAGCTCAAGGAGATAAGGACCTTCCCCCAGAGCTGACAATGAGAGAAAGCTTTCCTTTAGAGATGACACCCTGAATTCAGACTTCTAGCCTCCTAAACTGTGAGAAAATAAATTTCTATTTGTTAAAGCCACCCACTAGTGGTATTTCTGTTACAGCAGCACTAGATAACTAAGACAATGAGTGAACCTGAGTTATAAAAAAGATATAAATAATAATGATTTAAAATGCAGTGGGCATAAAAAGGAAGGTTCAGTTAAGGACCTAAAAAATATCCAGCCATTATATACATTCTTCTTTACTTTAAATAAGATTAGTTAGGTTAGATTTAATGCTTCATAGCTACTTTCTCTATAAATATTTATATGTGAATAACATTTGTTGAATGCTTTCTGTAGGCAATGTTTAAGCATTTTACACATTATTATTATTTTTTTATTTCTGACAATAATCTTATGAGGTCTGTGGTAGGCAGAATAATGGCCCCCCAAGGATGTCCGTGTCCTAGTCTCTGGAAACAATGAATATGTTATTTTACGTGGCAAGGCAGAATTAAGGTTGCAAATGCAATTAAGGCTTCTAATCAGCTAGCCTTGAGATGGGAAGACTAGCCTAGATTATCCAGGTGGGTCCTCATAAATTAAAGAGGGAAGCAGTAGAGTCAGAGTCAAGTGAAACGATGTGAGAAAGACTCCACTGGCCTT